GAACCAATTGGTCCTCTTTAATAATTGTTTTAAATTTTTACATTGAAATAAATATTATAAAATTTATAACAATAAACGTCAACTTTATAATGACATTGAATTATTATATTAAAAAGTAATTACATTGAAAGTAGTAATAAATGTGACATTGATGATAATAAACATGTGGAATCCATGTGTTAAATATTATATACATGTATACATAATTGTAAAGTATATTTTCATAGACAATTAACGATAATATAAAAAACATGTGGATTCCATATGTATTAAATTTAATATCATTTTTGTTTATGTGTAATATATTATTAATAATAAAATATTTAAAGTACCATGTACTCTAAATAATTCAATTTTTAAAATGTATAGTTGAGCTCAATTAAAAAAGTATTAGTAAAGTATTTATCTCGGTTTAAAAATTAATTACAAATTAATGTAAAGTCTTGATATAAAAATTATAAAAAGTTAATAATGATAGTTGTAAAACAATTAAGTCTATTGATATTCATAGTGTGTTTAATAGTGTGTTGTGTTTGCGATGGAAATAGTATTGATGTGAACATGAGTTCGGGTTCAGTGAGGGGTCAGACACTCCATGTCTTGAATCGTAAAATACATCAATTCTTGAATATACCCTACGCTGAGCCCCCTTTAGGCCCACTCAGGTTCGCCCCTCCCTTACCACTGAAGGAGCCCAAACAGGTATGCATTTTATTATACTAAATAAATTTTTATTTACAACTGATAATTATAAAATAATATATTGATTGCATAACTATCTAGGGCATTATTGATGGCACACAACCGGGAAATTATTGTATTCAAAACACAAGAGTATTTGAAAATGAGAAAAATAAACCGACGTATAGTGAAGACTGTTTGGTATTGAATATATGGACACCAAATGTGGACAATAGTAATGATAATCACCAGAATATGGTTCTCAAACCAGTCATGTTCTCCATATATGGCGGAGCACTGAGTTTGGGATCAATATTTCAAGATTTATTGAACGGCAGTGTTATTGCGGCCAATGATGTGGTTGTCGTTGCGGTTAACTATAGGGTCGGGCCGTTGGGGTTTCTATACGGCGGCGATCAGACAGCGCCCGGAAATGCGGGCTTTTATGACCAGTTATTAGGACTTAAATGGGTATTCATATGCATTTAATGTAAAGTATATAATTATTATTTAATTTTATATTAATTAATTAAATAACAAGGTTGGAGAAAACATACACAAGTTTGGCGGAGATATGGATCAGATTACTATATTTGGTGTGAGTGCCGGCAGTTGGTCCGTATCGGCACACATATTGTCTCCCCTATCGAAAGGTCTGTTTAAGAGGGCTATTATGCAGAGCGGGTCCGTTATGTATAACAAAGATCGTCCGGCGCTCAGCACTGTTGAGGGCCTTCAAAGGGCCAAACAATTGGCCCGACGTTTGAATTGCNTGTTTAAGAGGGCTATTATGCAGAGCGGGTCCGTTATGTATAACAAAGATCGTCCGGCGCTCAGCACTGTTGAGGGCCTTCAAAGGGCCAAACAATTGGCCCGACGTTTGAATTGCGATGAATTTGACTACAAATGGTTGGACTGTTTGCGTGCAATAGACGACCCGAACCTGTTTATTGAAAAACCGGATTATGGGTTCCTTGTTATGACACACGCCGTGTTTGGCACAGAGTTTTTACCAGTGTTGCCACAAAAAGCATTTTCAACAGGGTTATATAATACTGGTACTAGTTTAATATAATATTAGTTTATATAATGCTCATGTGCGTAATATTAAATTAATATGTTTACCAGATGTGGAATTAATGGCCGGTGCGGTTAAAGACGAGGGTCTGGTAATGACCCAATTTTTATACCCAGAAATGCAAACCGAAATGACTGAACACCAGTTGCGAGAAATTGTGGTCAAATTGAGTGATGAATACCAGAACATAGATGTGGACAAAGTGTGCGATCATTACTTCAAAGGCGTTGACAGAACCAATTCATCGCAACTGAAGGCAGCGTTGAGTGCATTATATGGCGATTTGGTTTTTGTGTGCCCCACATATCACTTCGCCAAGAGATTTATCAAAAGTAGACAAAATGTGTATTTTTATCGTTTTAATTTTCAAAGTCAATTCTATGGCACTGTTTATGGGGTTCGCAGAGATGTTGTATCGCACGCCGCGGACATGGATTTTGTTTACGGCTATCCCTTAAGATATCCGACACTTTATAGCGAAATTGAATATGATTTTAGTATTGATGTACTGAAAGTATGGATTGATTTTGCTAAACACGGGTACATTTAATGAATTATGTTTAATTATAATAATATCGATTTACCATGGTTAATTTTATCATATAATTTAAATTATGTTTTTTAATAGTAAAGCACATGACGTTTGGCCACAACTTTGGGACAAATCTGTGATTCGAGTGAAAGACTTGAATCCCAACGATATGTCACTTATTCTCGACAATCCATACGAGAGTACATGTGATGGCATTTGGAGCCAATATTTTTGATCAAAAATTAAGTTGACAATTAATTATTGCTCAATAATTAAAATAATTCAAACAATTTAAAATAATTAAAATTAATTACTGTTTTTGTAAAATTGTTTATTATAACATAATTATTTTATTTTTATCTTACCAAGAATTATTATACAGTATGATATTAATGTACAGAACTGTGTAAATTGATTAAATTGTTAATTAAAAGTGATTAAATTTGTTTATGTTTATGATTCAAATGTGATTTCAAATCACCCGATGTAACAAACCGTTGATTACAATTATTATAAATACATTTATGGCTTTTTATATTCAAATGTCTTATCATGTGTACTTTTACTTCATATTTTGTGCGAAATGTTTTATCACAATCATTAAAATTACAAACAAATGGTTTTTCTCCCGAATGTATGCGTTTGTGTTCTATTAAACCATGCTTTGATGTAAATTTTTTGCCACAATTTTCTTCATTACATTTGAATTTATTTTTCATTCAAATGAACAGAACTTTTGTGTCGAAATAAGTTTGATTGTTGTTTAAAACTTTTGTGACATTCATTAAAATCACAAATAAATCTCGCATTTAAATGAACCCTATTCTTATGACGATTTAAGTAATTGTATTGAACACTTTATTACAATTATTAAAATCACATTTAAATTGTTTAACTTCTGAATGAATGAATTGGTGTCGAATTAACTCACTTTTCCATTTTGTCTTGAATTGACATTTAGGCCAAAAACAGTGCAAATAATCATCAGATTTAGTAATGATATGACAATTGTTTAGCATATTTGAATTGACATTTAGGCCAAAAACAGTGGAAATAATCATCAGATTTAGTAATGATATGACAATTGTTTAGCATTTTATCACTGATTTTACATGAATTGCAATCAATTGTTTGATTGATTGAAAAATAATCATTATTTTCGCATTCAATCGCTTCACACAAAACACTATTATTTGTATTCAAAATACACTGAATTTTGTCTATTATTTCACACAAACTCTTCATTGCATTTAATTTACTCTTCATTTCAATCAACGATAGACTTATTAATTTTGAGCACATTTTGTAAATCAGTTTTAAATAACAATTTTGAAATATTTAAAAAATGAACCACATTGTAATTAACCGAACAAGTGATACAATTAATAAGTTTTATTAAACAAGTTCTTATTGTTATTGTGTTGATTGTATTGAGTCTATTGATTGATATTTCAGTAAATTATTTGATGTATATTTTCCACGTGTTTTCAAAACTGGTATTTTTTTGATAACAAAAACCTGTTTTCAGATATCAATCATAAATCAAAATACTAATCAATACTATAATAAAAATTTAAATTACTTTCATTGTATGATTAAAATAGTTTTTTAATTTAATAAATTCTAGATCATATTATTTTACTAGATGCAATATTTTATTTATAATTTAAACTGTTTGGTAATTTAAATTTTGTTTTTAAATTAATAAGGTTAAAATTTAATAATAACATTTATAGATAATATGTCTGCCAAATGCCATCACAAGTATTATGGTAGGGATCGGTGTAAATGCGGCTCATATTTGCCGGATCTAGACTTCGCACGAGTGGCGGCGCACCGGACGACACACCGGCGCCCGACAACTGCGGCCACTCATCACCAAAACGTCTATTCAAATGCATTTCAAACACATAATTAACACATAAAACTAAACAAAATAATACTTTATATACCCGTCTTTTGCAAACTTAGTCCACAATCGCATCACATCTCGACTGAAGACCAGGTCTTGCGGTGAGAAGTCTTTGGTGTGAATGAATGGTAAGCCGAAGACAAACGGCACGTCCGCCGCGTGACAGACGCCCATCGTTTTGGGATCACAACCGGTGTGTTTGCCGTACAGTTCACTCCCGTAGTCCAACTCATAGAAGTAGACCCGATGTTTGTCGGCAACACCGGCGCTGAACTGTCGCGCAAACAGATATGTCGGACACTTGAGTATTAAATCGCCAAAAAAGTCAGCAAATCTGTGCCAAAGGGTTGTCGGGTCAGTGGTGTTGACGCCCGACAGATAACTATCTGTCACTTTTGGTACGTCTATGTTGTGGTATAAAGCGTTCACGAGGTTGATGCCGAATTTGAATTGTTCCAGGGTAGTTTTGTTCGGTTGCGATAAAATAATTTTGGCAAACCCCGAGCCCTCGTTACGGGTCACACCAGCCATCAGGTCTATGTCTATATAATTTATTAATGTTAATTAATTATGATTAATAGTTCCATAGAATTTGTTTAACGGCATAGATTAGTTAACAACATAAAAGTTTTACTGTATTAATAATAATTATAGAGGTATAAACCTAGGTTAATTTGTTTGTTTCTAAATGCCTTCTGTGCAGATACAGGCAAAAACTCTGTGCCCAACACCGGGTATGTCAACGCTTTAGCGTATTTCACCAGATTTTGTGCGTCCACTCGACGTAAACATTGTATCCAATCCTCGGTTTGATTGCAGTTTTCTTGGGTTGCAATGTATTTCCCGTTTGCCACCGACTCCTCCGCTGTAATCACATCCCTGTCTTTGTTATACATATGGGCGCCGCTCTCCATAATAGCCCTCTTGAATAGGCCTTTGGATAGCGGGGAGAGTATGTGTGCGGACACCGACCAACTCCCGGCGCTCTCACCAAAAATGGTGATCTGATCCCTATCTCCGCCAAATGAGTGGATGTTTTCTCTAACCTATTATTACATTATTGTTTAATTAATTAAATTAATATTTAATTTAAAACAAGCGATCAATTGATACCCATTTGAGAGCCAATAACTGGTCATAAAAGCCGACATTTCCGGGCGCGTCCTCCCGATCCCCGTATAGGAAACCAAACTCTCCTAACCTATAATTTGTGGACACAATCACCACCTCATGTGTGGCCAAAACACTCCCATTGTGTGTATCCATGAATATTGAGCCGCCGCTCAAACCTCCGCCATATATCCAAAACATAACCGGTTTTAAAGCACTCGACCTGTTATTTGGGGCCCAAATGTTAAGCACCAGACAGTCTTCGCTGAGCGACAGTCCTTCGCGAGGGTTTTGCATACATGAGTGCTTGGGTTTTGTCGCATCGATTACCTCCTTATGTTGTAATATATAAAAGTTTTTAATATAACGTCTTTACATTAAGTCTATCATAACATTCACTTACTTTTAATGGTTTTTTAATGGCGACCGGTTTGTCAAACCTTAGGCTCCCGACCGGCGGCTCAGAAAAAGGTATTCCCAAAAACTGGTCAATACTTGTGTTGAGCACATGTAGTGTCTGACCCCTCACTACACCAGACGTTGTGTTTACATCAATACAACTTACCTGGTAATTATAACTATTTATAATTGTTACAGTTAAGATTAATAACGAAATGTTATTATTAATTAACATTGTTAAATTTAATACTTTATTAGTAATCTGGAGTAAAGTAAACTAAATAAATGTTAACAAATATTAACTTTATTTATACACTTTCAACTAACTATTTAATGTACAAGTTACTTGCTGGTTTTAGTGGTATTTATTAAATATCGTTATAGTTAGTTTAATATTGCTACAAAATAATTTACCAAAGGTTAATTTAAATAACATTGAAAACACTTAAGGCTTATGAGTACATGATAAACTTACATTGGTGAACTTACTGTACTTGTACAGTAGTTACTTATAACTTTATAATATCATATGATTACAATTACAATTGAGAATTAACAAGATTATTTGGTTTAAAATAACCCTGTTGATACAGTATGTAATTGAGTACAATATATAATCATTAAAAACATTATTGTATTTAATATGTATTAGTATAGTTTAACTAAATTATTGTTTGGATAGTAAAATTAGCTAGCCTATTGTCACCCAGTCCCAAATTAATTGAAAAATATTATTAATAAGCCATGGTATAGATTCTATACTATAGAATTAGAATTATCATTGTCAGACAACAAGCACCATGACTATTCTGATAAATCTATAAATCTGATTAAAATTTTTTTATTTAATTGATACATTTAATTTTAATTAATTAAAATTTTGTTCTTTGATTAATTTTTTAAATTGTTAATTTAACAAAATAATATAACATCATTAGAAAGATTTAGTAAACCACAATTGTCATATATGATTCATAGTTAAAAATAATTTATTTAAATGACCATAAATGTTAAAGTTAAAACTGCACTTAAAAATAGTAATTAACTCTCGGGCAAAATTATTTATATAGACATAAAATATTTGCAAGTATAAATTATATAATACAAGTATAATACAGTATAATTATAATGGAGAGAACGGTGTAATTAAAAGTTTTTTATTATTTGCAAAGCAGTAATGTTATAATAATTAATTAAATTTGTTTATGTTTACAAATTAAATGAGATTTCAAATCACTTGACGTAACAAAGCGTTGATTACAGTTATTATGAATACATTTATGGCTTTTTATATTCAGATGTCTTTTCAAATGTACTTTTACTTCATATTTTGTGCGAAATGTTTTATCACAATCTTTGAAATTACAAATAAATGGTTTTTCTCCCGAATGTATGCGTTTGTGAAAAATTAAATTTTGTTTTGAAGTGAATTGTTTGTAGCAATTTTTTTCATTACATATGAATTTTCTTTCATTCAAATGAACACAACTTTTGTGGTGATTTAAAGCCCGTTTTGAGGTATAACTTTTGTGACATTTATTGAAATCACAAATAAATCTCACATTTGAATGAACACTAGTTTTGTGGTCAATTAAATTACCATTCTGGTTAAAACTTTTATTACAATTATTAAAATCACATTTAAATTGTTTTATTTCTAAATGAATTAATTGATGTTGAGTTAGATTACAACTATCTTTGGTCTTGTATTGACATTTAGGCCAAAAACAGTGAAAATTATCATCAGATTTAGTAATGATATGACAATTGTTTAGCATTTTATCACTGATTTTACATGAATTGCAATCAATTGTTTGATTGATTGAAAAATAATCATTATTTTCGCATTCAATCGCTTCACACAAAACACTATTATTTGTATTCAAAATACACTGAATTTTGTCTATTATTTCACACAAACTCTTCATTGCATTTAATTTACTCTTTATTTTAATCAACGAAACATTCATTAATTTTGAGCACATTTTGTAAATCAATTTTAAATAACAGACGGGTATATATAATATTCAAAAATACCTCGTATTGTTATTGTGTTGATTGTATTGAGTCTATTGACTGATATTTCAGTAAATTATTTGATGTATATTTTCCACGTGTTTTCAAAACTGGTATTTTATTGATAACAAAAAATTGCTTTAAGATATCAAACACTGATATCAAAAACACTAATCAATACCATAATAATGACAATTTTAAATTACTTTCATTTAATAATTAAATTTTTAAAACTTTTAATATCATAAATTATAATTTACAATTCTATATTATATTATTTTAATAAATACAATATTTTATTAATAATGTACACTGTTTAATAATTTTAATGTCGTTTTTAATCAATAATATTTAAATTTAACAGAATTTATTGATAATATGTCTGCCAAACGCCATCACAAGTGTTATAATAGGGATCGGTGTAAATGCGGCTCATATTTGCCGGATCTAGACTTCGCACGAGTGGCGCCGCACCGGACGACACACCGGCGCCCGACAACTGCGGCCACTCATTGCCAAAACGTCTATTCAAATGCATTACAAATACTTAATCAACACATAAAACAACACAACAATACTATATATACCTGTCTTTTGCAAACTTAGTCCACAATCGCATCACATCTCGACTGAAGACCAGGTCTTGCTTTGAGTAGTCGTTGGTGTGAATGAATGGTAAACCAAAGACAAACGGCAGGTCCGCCTCGTGACAGACGCCCATCGTTTTGGGATCACAACCGGTAATATTGGCCGTATATGCGCTCTCGTAGTCCAACTCATAGAAGTACACCCGATGTTTGTCGGCAACACCGGCGCTGAACTGTCGCGCAAACAGATATGTCGGACACTTAAGCGATAGGTCACCGAAAAAATCAGTCAAACTGTGCCAAAGAGCCAATGGGTCACTGATGTTGACCCCCGATAGGTAACTGTCGGTCATTTTTGGTACGTCTATGTTGTGAAACAACGCGTCACCTATTTTTATGCCTACTTTAAATTGGTCCAGGGTGGTTTTGTCCGGCTGTGTCTGAACAAGTTTGGCCGTCTCGGCACCTTCATTGCGCGTCACACCTGCCATCAGGTCTATGTCTGTATGTATTTTAGTACAATTAATAAGTTATTTATTGATCATGGTAAATTGTAATATTAAATATAAATAAAAATTATTATAATAATCATTTTAGTAAACTTATTGATTATTAAATATAAAGTTGATTAGTAAAATACCCAGGTTGATTTGCTTATTTTGAAATGCCTTTTGAGCCGATAGGGGCAAAAATGCTGTGCCCAACACGGGTCGTGTCAGCCCACTGTTGTATTTGACCAGTCGTTGTGCGTCCACTCGGCGTAAACATTGTAACCAATTCTCGCTTTGAGTGCAGTTTTCTTGGGTTGCGATGTATTTGGCCAGAGATAAGGCTTCAGTCTTATTAAACACATCCCTATCCTTATTGAACATATGGGCCCCGCTCTGCATAATAGCTCTCTTGAATAGGCCTTTGGATAGCGGGGAGAGTATGTGCGCCGATACGGACCAACTGCCGGCGCTCTGACCAAAAATAGTGATCCGATCCCTATCTCCACCAAATGAGTGGATGTTTTTTCTAACCTATTATTATGTTATTAATTAATATACTATTTCATTAAATGAATAGAAATTATGATTAAAACATGCGATCAATTGATACCCATTTGAGAGCCAATAACTGGTCATAAAAGCCGACATTTCCGGGCGCGTCCTCCCGATCCCCGTGTTGGGCACAGCATTTTTGCCCCTATCGGCTCAAAAGGCATTTCANTAGGAAACCAAACAAATCTAACCTATAGTTTGTGGACACAATCACTACATCATGAGTGGCCAAAACACTGCCATTATTTGAATCCATAAATATTGATCCGGAGCTCAAACCGCCGCCAAATATCCAAAACATAACCGGTTTTAAAGCACTCAACGTCTTATTCGGGGCCCAAATGTTAAGCACCAGACAGTCTTCGCTGAGTGACAGCCCTTTGACCGGCTTTTGCATACATGAGTGCTTCGGTTTTGTTGCATCGATTATCTCCTTATGTATGCAACAAAATGTTAATAATATTGATATAAGAATATATTGTTATTTAATATTTTAAAAAGTTTTTATTACAATAAACTTACTTTTAATGGCTTAGTAATGGCCACCGGTTTAACAAACCTAAGCGCACCGACGGGTGGTTTGGCATAAGGTATACCCAAAAACTGGTCAATACTTGTGTTGAGCACATGTAGTGTCTGACCCCTCACTACACCAGACGTTGTGTTTACATCAATACAGTCGATAGTTTTGCTGTAATTATTAACAATTATTGCAGTCACTATTAATAGTATATTTTTATTTTTAATTGTCATTGTTAGATTTTACAACATGTGATACAACGAAAATATAAGTACTGTATATTTTGTTATTATTATAATTTATAAATGTTTGAAAGACATACATAGATTCCTTTGTATTTATATTAGATTATGATCAATATTTACTTTACACATATGGTGTACACGTATAACAAATTGAGCATTTAATAAGGAAATAACGAACTTAAAGCACTTGCAAGTTGCAACATAATGAGAATACATGTAAATGTATAATATTGAAACATAAAATGCTCAATGTCATGTTACATAATAAAATTATTAATAACATATTATTAAAATCACTCAAATCTACAGAACACATATTTACATGTACATACAATGTAATATACTGTATATACTGTATTATATACTGTATAATCTGTAAATTAGTGTACACTAATAATTATATAATTAGCTACATCACTTTGTTATTTGTTACTAGTAATAGTTTCTGGTTTTGCAGATCTAACATCTGTTATTTAATATATTAATAAAATATTTTAATATGAAGTTAAAAGAATTATTATTGTAAATTATAATTATATAAATTATATCTAACTTAAAATCAACATAAAATATATAATATGATAATAATTAAGTACTTTACTTATATAATAAAGTATGCACTTTATATTAATATGTACTTTATAACTAGAGTCTCTATTTTTCGGGAATAAAAACCTTCAAATTCGGGCGGGAATCGAGAGCATAAAACAGCCAAATTCGGGAATAAAATCGGGAGTTAAAACTTATTATATTTTTACATTAGAACAATAATTATGCATTTAAATCGTTTAAAAATGAATTATATTTGATAATAACATGAAATTTGATATTTTTTCTGTAAATCCATGCCTTCTATCTGTAATAATATTCTTAAATTGAGAGAAAAAACGCTCGACAGAGACGGAGAAAATCGTTGCACATTTTGTAAGACATCTCATTTCAAAATCTTGTGGATTACAGAACCCTCATAATAACTTTATCACTTATTATTCCAACTTTATAACCGCTATTGGTATTTATTTAATATTTTATTAAAATATTTGAAGAAAAAGCGACGATTATAGGGGGTTTTCGTTGCAAAAGTGCATTTTCGGGACTATTTTTTCATAATCGGGAGTTTTCGGGACTTTTCGGGAGTTTTCTCAAAATATGCGAAAATCGGGAAAAATCGGGAATATAAAAACTATATATATTGGTCCTACTTTGGCCCATATGCCTAACGGTACGTAATTCCCGATGTTTTTATTCACTAAATTTATTCGGGAGTTCCCGAAATATAGAGACTCTATTTATAACTATTACTGTTTAAAAAGATTTTGCCACCATTTGTTTAATTTTAAGTTAGAGAATAAATATAAGGACAGAAATGTAATGAACACGCGTTTAATGTAAATGTAATATTATATTAAAACAAATAATAATTTACAGTGTTTTATATTTACCAGTATTTCAATGCTCACACTTATTGGTGGTGACCGACCACCAGATGTAACAGCAATTAGGCTCAAACGATCACAACCTATAGGGTGTGTTTGATGTAAAACTGGTTTATATGACCATTGAATGCTTGTTCATTAAACTTAATATACCAAACACATTGAGTACACGTGTTTTCAAACATTTATTTTTATGTTTAAATTATTTTATAATATTTTAGTCAAAACTTGAATGAAATATTGTATTTAAAATGTGCTCAAAATTAATGAGTGTTTCGTTGATTGAAATGAAGAGTA